ACCTAGTGTTTGCAAGAAAAATTTGGAGCATCTTTTATTTTGGTCACAGGCATATAATTATTATCAAAATTTTTCCAGCAAAATTTCATTCAAAACTTAGTTTGTTGTGTTGATTAATGTTACTACTGAAAATCTTTGATACACTTAATTTGATTTTATCGTTTTGATGCCCGTTCTCATAATTTTCCATACAAATTATACAAAATACGCATGCAAAAAAATAACCGCATATGCTGACAGCTGCTTCATTGTAATATCGTCACTGGAGTTCATGGAAAAAGAAGGTTTTGTTCTCTCTTTATATAACAAAACAACAAACTCATTATAAAAACGCAATTGAGTTCTTAGAAAAGGTAAAACAGAGTGATACTACAAAATGAACAACCAAAAAATTTAAAATTTAGTTGAAAATAATTGAAAGTAAACTACTATGAAAAGGTTCTATTGCAATTAAAAATAAAAATAATTTCATTAATTTATTTTCACTCAATTAATATCGATTGTTTTTTCGATTCTATGGAGAAAGACTATAAAAATGCACGATAAACAATTTTGATTCAGAGCGGGTATTCTAAAATAATTTTTTTTTCTAAATAAATAGGCCCCAAACAGATTTTTTTTTCGATCTCTCCCAAATAATTTACTTTCAAAAAATTGCATTCAAATACGTTAAGGTTCGATTACTTTGTTCAGTCAAGCTTTGGAATGAAAAAAATGATAAATTAGAGGCCAGTTCTTGGTTTTCTATTCAATCTTTGCCTTAATTAGTTGTTTTTGGAACATTCTTTACATTTTGTTTTTGAATTTTGTTTTTCAGTTTTTTTTTCAGATTCACACCAACTCTACTGGAAAACGTGAATTTGTATTAAGAACTCTCTAATTCTAGCTCACTCGCTACTGGCATCGTTGAAATGGAAGCCTTATACAATAATTCGAGAATTTCGATAAATTTGATGTCATACAACATACAAGTCATTTTATATTGCTCAAACAATCCAAACAACAAAATGATGACTATGAAAAGTATGACTTAATACGAAAAAATAAACCGAGTAGCAGCTCTCCCACCACCTGACCTTCAGAAAGTCGTTCCAAGTTTGTTGAAGTAAGCTTATTTGCTCTAAGTTATTTGTTTAGGGAGCAAAAACTATCACTTTGTACTTAATTTGGCGTGTTCAAATGGTTTTCACAAGAAAAAGTATGTCAATATTTTCTAAAAAGTTTTTTTTTCATTTTACTTTGTTATATTTAACTTTTTCATGTGATTAATGCTCCACTAAAATTTAGGAGGTAATCGCAACATTATGGGTTTTGCTCTAATACGAGCAGCCTTCATGGAACAGTCAAAACATGATTGAGGATAAAAGCAAAACCAAACACATCGGAGTGATATCCGATCAATATCTATAATTTCAAGAGAAAGTTAAAGTGATTTTAAGAAAAATGCCCTGCGGAATTAAAACACTCCAATCAATCAAAAAACCATTTTCAATTAAAACTTGCCGATTAATCATGAACGTACTAGTTACAAGTCATCTAAATTATCCTGCCATACTTCTGAGAAGAGTATCAACAAATTTATTGATTTCACTAGAAAAACAACAGAGCTGGGCCTATGTTTTTTGCTGCGATTGTGTTAAGTTTGACATCTCGTCTGATCCAAAAATGAAATATAATATGATTCCTATACCCATGTGTCTTGATTGGAAACTAATAACCCATTTTTGGAAGAAACAACTAACTGTTACCCGCTTTTTCAAAAGTTCAATTCTAAAACTACCAGATCGACACAAATACGAGAGTTAAAAAATTAAAAAATTATACTTCTTTGAAAGATATACTGGACACTACATCAAAAACTTGTTTTTTAAACGATCAGTATTGATATAGAAAACAATTAGAGATGATAAACTTGTGGGATATACTTTCAAACAGAGGAGCGAAGATCAAATTTAAGAATTAAATTACATAATTAAGGAAGATCCATCAGTGGCAACCTATGGTACATTATCACGGAAAAAGTTAGTTATTTAGGAAAAACAGTCACTGTAATTGTCATATTGCTGATCTATGTTACATTGAAAAAATTATAACTTAATAAAATTTTAAACTTATTTTCACTTCATTTTCTTTAATAACTGACATACACTCGCATATTTAAAATTATTTTTTTTTTCCAATTAAAGAGTTTTTTTACTGGTCGCGCATTTTAAATTCTGTCATATCTTTTCACCTCCCACATCCGAAAAACTTTCACGGACTTTTGTTAAAGTTCTGACCTTTATGCAGTGTAAATTCGGTCAATTTATAAAATTTTACCGCTAACATTTCTTACCTATATAAATTAAAACAAACATATTAACGCATTATAAATTCGATCAAGTTGATCCTTGATTGCGCATTCTAAAGTCATTCGAATCTTTAAAAAAACACAGACACCTTTGCCCACATTTTCAAAAAAAGCTTACATGAAATTTGGCGTTTGAAGTTGAATCATTACCTTCATTGGATTCGGTTTTGGGATTTTTTTTTAGTTGTGCTGTTTAATGTGCTGTTTTGATGAAAAGAATATGAATAGGTTATTATAGGTTAATTGGCCGAGAACTCACCGTTATTTCCAAGAGTGCAAAATTAGCTAATGGTAAACATGAACTGAGTACCTAGGCTCATTTCTCATCCGCATAATTGTGGGTGACGCATTTAGAAGATACATTAAAAACGACTTAAATTTTTGCATTGATAATGATCACTGTTCCAATGATTGAACATGACGAGGCTTTTTTGTCTTCCAGTGTGTTGTATTTTTATTTTTTGTCAACCCAAAATCAGGCACCACAAAAAATCTTCTGAAAGGGCTGAGTAATATTCAATGTTTGAAGCCTTCTCTGACGTTTTTAGAACAAATTTTCAATAATTTTTTTAAGTGTCGAGAACAATTGTTTTGAAGTAACCAATTGATAGAATAAAATTGTGCAAATAAAGCTAACGAGCAGGCTTATAATAGTTTGATTCTTATAGTTCAAACTAAATCGTGACAAATTTGATGATTTTTCAGCGCTTTTCTAAAATATACCAAAAATTTTTGTACATACAAATCCTAAGCTTCAATTTAAAAAATTGTTTTTAGTGGGCATCACAGGCCGGGTGGATGCAAAAAAATTAGTTAGTTGTCGCAATCTTCTACAAAATTTATTATTTTCTATTGATTCTCAACTTGATTGTGTTATCGGTCTCAGAGTATTAGAGGTGGTCATAGCATCCAAGTCTACGTCTATGACCCCTCTCAGAATGTGCTCACCATCTTGCAAAAAACCAGTTCCTTCCATATATCCAATGGAAGGTGTTACTCTATTGGACTGTCGGTTAGACAGTATGTTTTTAAGAGTGGGATGAGCGGCTGTAGTGAAGAGGGGAAAAAAGGGTAAAATCAAAAAGCTCAAACTTGATGGTTGAATTTTAATCAGAGACGCCACAGTAAGAATCTGTTTGCCCCAGCATAAATTTAAACAAAACTGCTTTTTGACTGATTATAGACCTTTTCAATTGATCTAGTTTTTTGAACCAAAATTTTCAAAATCTACTTTTGAGATTAAAATTATACATCTTTTTGATTTTTTCGATGAGATCATTCAAAGAAAAAGAATAACGATTGGAAGACAATGCGGAGGTTATCAGCTTGAACTAAATTTAAATGTGTCTATTGATCAGTGAGATATTTTGATATATGATGCTTGATCCTTACGAAACTTTTGTCCTTTATTTTGTGTTTTTTTATTCAAATTTTATGCCAGTTCTGTTTTTTTCAGGAAACTTTGGTGATCAAGTTTAATAATTTTGAACTGTTTTGCCCGAGAAGAAATTGATGTTTTTCGTTTTAGTTTTCTTGTACCTGGTTTTATTCGAAAATCCGCAAGAAAGTTACGTAAAAAGCATAAAATGTTTTTTATTACGGCCTTTTATCAAGATATTGAGAAAAAAAAAGAAAGTCTAAACTCGGAAATAATGGAGTAAAAGTTAGTTTCTAATTTTAAATGCGTAAAAAAATCATTAAAAAGCAGTTTGTGACAGTTGTGAAAAAAAAACTGACTTCAATTAGTCGAGAATTGATTGAAAGTGTGCTACTTGAATTCAGGTGGTTCTTGAATTGGCTTGTTGGGAGTATTTTCCAGAAAAGGAAAAATATCATCGTTCTTAAAAAATACGTTTTCCAGCTTAAACCACTTAAGACAAAACAAAAGATAGTTGAAACACTCAATTCTTTGTTATATTCTGAGTGGTCTAACTCTTTTTTCTGCGGAGAAACTTCAAAGCATATATGAAAATATTTCTTTTTCTCATCATTGTCTCTTGTGATGACTCTTGTTATTCAGATAAAAAACTGTTTTCATATCAGTGTAAGATTGAACACTGTTGGCTAAACAAAATTTAGTCTCACCATCACCAGCAAAAGTAAATCATCTTGAAAGTGTTCTGAAGTATTATTAAAATAATTTTAAGAAACATTTTACTTTTTCCAAAAGACTTACTGATTAGCATTTCTAGAAAACCTTTACCAAGTTATCTTATTTTGGCCGATCAATAAGTGAAAGGATTCGCTGTTTTACTATTTTTCTAACTGTGGAACCTTGGTTAGCATTACTCGATGGCAAGC